TATTCATAGCTTTTCACCATCCTCATTCAGAAGTCCTCTTATTATTTGAAAAAAATGTGGCATATATATGTATATCATAAAATCTTATTTTAACAATTTTAAGATCAGTGGCATTAAGTACGTCCACATTTCAATGTAGCCACCTTTGCATTATCTGCAGACATTTTCCGTGTTCCCAAATTGACGTTCCCTACCCAGTAAATAGTTACGTGATAGCTTATCTCTTCTCAGGCTCTGGTAAGCACTGGACTACTTTCTGTCTATATGAATTTGACTCTCCAGCTTCTTCCTAGGTGGAAAAATATAATATGTGTTTCTTTGCCCATGTCATAATTTTTTAGGTGGCACTGAGAAATGAATCCCCTGGGCCTTGCACATGCCAGGAAAGTGCTCTATTACTGAGGTTCATCCCCAAACTCCTTGTGTACGTCTTACTCCATTTGGTACAATGTGTGTATCATTAGTGTTCTGCATGAATAACCTTAGTGTACACAAGGTTCATTTGAGTTGGTGCATGTGTCAGTGTTTGAGTTAGTACAAAAAACATCTCCTGTGAAACAAAAGCCCAGAACAAGATGGCTTTGTATGTCACTTCTACCAAATATTTAAAGAACTAATAACTGCTCTCAAGCTCCTCCAAAATATCGAAGAGGAGACAATGCTTCAAACTCAGTTTATGGTTCTATTACTCTGATACCAAAGACACTACAATAAATAAAAAGAAATCATAGGCCACTATTCTTGACTATCAGAGATTCAAAAATCCTCTGCAAAGTGATTGCAAGCCTGATCCAACATATGCAAATCAAAAGTATTATACATCACATTACCAGAAGGGTGGACAAATCCACCTGGGCCATCTCAATACACGCAGAAAGAACATTTCATGAAATTTATCAAATTCTCAATAGCAAAGATATAGAGTTAATCACAGTGTCCATCAGGTGGGTGACTGACTGGAGCCCATGCTGGATATATGCACCTTGGAATGCTTTTCAGCTGTCTTAAGTAAATCGTGTCATTTGCAACAGCGTGGACGGACCTTCACTGGCGATGCAGTGATCCCAAGGGAAGCACACACGGGTGCTCTCATTCGTATGTGAAAACTAGAAAAGATTACTCTTATGGACTTTGAGGGTCGGATGGTGGTTGCTAGATTTTGGGTTAGTGGCAGGTAACACTGGGGGAGATGCTGGTGAAAGGGTACAAGATTACAAAAGAAGCTCAAAGGATTTACTGTGCAGAGTGACGACTACAGTTAGTGACAGTAGATTACCGTTTTGAACCTTCGAAGGGAAGGGATGTGAAAGGTTCTCACCACAGAAGTGATGACTGTCTGAGGCCATGGATGGTCTACCTAGCTAAGTTGAATTATTCCACACATACATTTACTTCATAGCGCCACGTTGTACAGATAGATGTAGACAAGTATGGTTTCACCTGTAAACATAAAGAATAAATTTGCAAAGAATTTGTGTTGTCTCTCTTATTTGAAGAGAATGCAAGACTCCAAGGGGTGTCTGAGATCACAGACAGAGCCAAACCCTAGACTGAGCTCCTGTCCTTCATCATGGCCATAGCTTTTCTTGAGATGCAACAGCCTAAGTTGTGTAAACTTCTTTTTTCTTTTGCACAATTTCATGCTCTCATTATCTTTTAAGGCTGAATAATACTGCATTCTATGAGTGTACCACATTTTATTTACCTATTTCCCTTGATTTTTTTTATACTAAGAACATATAGCACGAGATCTACTCTTTTAATAAATTTGAGTATGGAATACAGCACTATGAACTGCAGAAACAACGTCGTACAGAAGATTTCTAGAACTTGTTCCTCCTGCACAACCAAAACCTATACCTGCTGAGTGGACCCTCTGAATATTGGCTCCAAAGTCCGCTAAAGTAGTTGTGTAGGACAGAATTTCTTCCTTTTGTAAAACAGCGTAGTATTCTCTCTCTCTCTCTCTCTCACACACACACACACACGCACACAGACACGCACACACGCATATATCTCACCTATCACATTTTGTATGCCCATTCCTCTATAAATGGACACCTACATTGCTCCAAGAGGTGAATCATATGCAGCGAGCAAGTGAGTGCAGATACCTCTTATGTTTAGAAGTAGTGCTTGTGCACCATAAGTTCGGTCTTTAAATGACCGAGGAACCTCTTTTCTGCTTTACACAGTAGGGACCCCATTCCTGCCAACAGTGCCCACTGGGGCCCGCCTGGTGCTGGGCAGCTGAGACAGAGTCTCTGTGGGTTGAGCTGGAATCGGGGCAAGCCTCGAGCCTGGAGCTGGTGCATTCAGCATGGTGACACCGTGGGCCCGAGGACCTGGTATGCAGTGTGTCCTGGAGCCCCGGGCCATGGGCGCTGCCCAGTGCCGAGTGTCCCTGTGGTGGGCTTCATGTTGTGGTCTGAGGCAAATGCCAGTGCTTCTCTTCTTACCCAGGAGGAGGGTTCCATTCCCGCTGTGCCACCTGGGGTGGTGGAGAAGTGGGAGGACGGAACTGTAAGCTCCTTCCCACCCTCTTCATGTGTCCTCTTTCTGTGCCAAGCCCTGGTGCTGTAAACTCACTCCTGGCTTCTCCAACTAGTGTGAAGCTGTTCTCATGCACACACAGTTGTTCACAAGCCCTGGAAAGCCCTGTCCTTCCATTGTGCTGTTGTCTGCGTAGAGTCTGGCTGCAATGTTTGATAAAGAAGCCCAAGATCGAGAGAATACTTTTGGTCCCTATTTTCATGAGAAGTAGGAAGCATAATCTTATGAGACTAAAACAAAATCAGTGAGGTAGAGGTAACAGGGAATTGGTGGAGAATTGGAGTGCACGCTTAGAAGATTATGTGTCTTTCACAATGAGCGAATCTCCAGTGAGATTTGAAAACCTAGTTCAACTTGGAGTTCAAAATTTTGTTGGCATGGACCTGTTCAACATTTTATAATTTTCTTCAGCATTGCCTTATGCTTTTAGGTAAGGCAAGAAAGAAAATGATGGATAAATTTATACATTTAAGATTTCACTTGTGTCTCTGCCATATCCAAGTAGGAAAAAGCTCTGTTTGGATTTGACTTTATAAATATTACTACCTACCCATTTTGCTCTACTTGAGAATCAAGATAATTGCACAAGTTACATTACCCTGTTCTTTCCTTAATACCGATAAGTCTTTAAAAAGATGAAGTTTAGAAAGACGATGCCAAAGTGAGAATGTGCTATATCTTCCTGTGGTAATGAATCCCAAACCCTTATGGTTTATCACATAATTTGCTTTCCGGTTCAGCCACTAAAGGTTGAGTCCTCGTCCTCCAGGGCACTGTCCCGCATGTGCCGATTCCATAATCCAGGCTGTTTCCTCTGTGTGGCCCTTCCACTCCAATGTGTTTTCCACTCTTGCTGCAGCAGGGAGAAAGAAAGCAAAGCAGTAGCATCCTGGGCCTAAAGGGTCCTCCCTCGACGTGGGCAGGGAAACATGGTGGTAGAAGCACACTGATATTTAGTGATCGGGGAGTGTGTTGGCCGCAGTGATCTTCCAAGTGGAATGTTTACAAATCTGCCGAGTAGTAATCTGTATGCCATATGTATCTAACATACGATTAGGTGTCGCTAAGGAGTCATGTGGGTATTTCAGTGTCTAGGAAGGTAGGCTTGAACTTGCTAAAATTTGCAGGACATCTTTCCTAGCCCCGATTTAAATACTCCTCCTCCTCCTCCTCCTCCTCGTCCTCCTCGTCGTCGTCCTCCTCCTCCTCCTTCCTCCC